AAAAAAGGCGACCAGAGACTTTTCGTTAATAATTGTGTGTATTTTTTACCCAGTATTAATGGTGTCCCTTCTAATTTTATTATTTGATCTTTGTCTAAACTACCCGATATGGCCCCACTTACTAAGACAATGTCATGTCTCCTAAACATTCCAAATTCAAAATCTATAATATAAAATTTGTAATTCCTATCCATATTGTAAAAAGTTGTAGTAAAAATATCAAGAAGTCAGTCAAAATTACAAGTTAGTTTTATGAATTTTACCTGTAAAAGATAAAATTTATTAGCTTAAATTAATATTATATTAATCGACCATTTTCCCTTTTATTTACTGCAATATTATTATTATGCATTATAATTAAAAATATATATATTTTTTTTTATTAATTAAACCGAATTTCAAATATTTACAATAAGGTATAAATGCTTATAATTAATTTTTTATTCTTTGTTATCTGTATCGCGTTCATGGCAAGGTTTGAGTCTTTGTACATGTACTGTGTCAATGACTTCTTTACCATTTAGAATTAAAGCTACTTTATAATTTACATCAGATTTCTTTTCTATTATTTTAAAAGGTCCCCTGTATTTATAAGCTAACTTTTTTGAATTACCTGGTGTTTGAAAATTAAACTTGACAAAGACTTTTTGTCCAGGTAAATAATTTACAGTTTTATGAGTCTTATCGTAGTATTGTTTTTGTTTGTTTTGCTCTATTTCTACTAATTTAGGAATTTCATCTCTTATAGATTGTAANTGTAGGAATTTCGTCTCTTATAGATTGTAACTGTTTCAAGGACTCTAACCTGTTAAAGTTCAATTCTTCGGGCCAAATTTTATTATCTAACAGCTGAGTAGCTTCTACTCCAAACATAAGATAATATGGTGAATATCCTAACCTAGAGTGTGGACAAGTGTTATACGCGAACACTACCATTTTATAATATAATGCCCAATTCTTTTGGTTGTTATTTACATAGTGCGTTAAACTATTGCATATTATTTTATTCATCAATTCTGTACTCCCATTACTTTGNTTAATTCTGTACTCCCATTACTTTACCATTTCCTCATCTAATTACTACAATATATATATGTTCAAATAAGCAAATATATTTGCTCAAATAAGTAAATATATTTTAATCTTAATAATATTTGAGAAAAATTTAAAAAAATCGGAATTATGAAATTATAAATAGACAAATTATTGTGTAATTAAATAGATTCGCATAAAATGTTTTTATGCTGGTGATTAACATTACTATCAAAGTATAGATAATAATTTTTTTTATTAAATTATTTGGGGGATTGGTGGTAAATTCACTTTTTTGTTTTTCTTATTTAAGTCTACATATATATTTTAGTTTTACTAATTATTTATTCTATGTACTTTTTTTAGTTGGGTGATCATAAAGAAACAAAAGAAGATGAAAATGAAATTGTAGAAAAAGATGAAAAAGAAACTAATGTATCATCTGATGAGGATTCTGATTCAGAAATTAGTAGTAGTTCTGATGAATCTGACGAAGAGTCAGATAAATCAGATGCAGATCAAGTATTAGATGATAAGAAAAAGGTAATATTTATTAAATTTTATAATTAAACCATCAGTTACATTATAATAAATTATATCCTATATTAGGAATTTTTGTCTCAATAGATTTATGGTTATAACAAATGTTTGTAAGAAGAACTGTTTTAGAAATTTATCAAAGATAATTAAATTGCTGTTTAGATTATTAGTTCATGCTCTTTAGTTTTTAATAATGAAAAGTAATTGTTGTATTGTTGATAAATTAATGAAATCATTTTATTAAAATGAAAATTCTCCAAATTTGTATTTCTATATAGTTTTCAATGTTATTTTTTTTTCTGCAATACATTTTTAACTAGATTATATATATTAGTTATTTAAAAGTGACATAAGTTTCTGTTATATTAAATATAAAACATAAATTATTTTATTTTATTACTATTAGATTTTATTTTTCAATATATTGAGTTTTATATAAAAAAATTTGATTACTTTTTAAAATAAAAATGTTTTAATTCATTTATAGCTGTCTTCAAATGATGATGATGATGATAATTGGCATAAATTTCAATCTGGAGCAACCAAAAAAGATAGAGTACTCGAAGGAAGAACTAAACAATCACATTTGGTTCATTGTCCTTATTTTCCTGAGGTATTTAATTAAGAAAATATGTTATGTAATATTTTAATTTTTTGTTCATATTTTCTCTATTATATGATCTATATATTTTAGGATAAACATGAATATTGGTGGGTTTATTTAAGTGACCGAAAAAGTCGAACCTTATTGACAGTTCCCTATCATGTGACGGAACTTGTAGATGAAGAAGAAATTCAATTGAAGTTCACTGCACCTAGATGGCCTGGAGTTTATGTATTTGCAGTTTGTTTACGGTCAGATTCTTATTTTGGCTTTGACCAAATGCATGACATCAAAGTTAGTATTAGTTTTTTTAAGTACAAATTGTTTTTTCTAACTTATTCTTTAAATTTATTAAATGTTTAAAATAATTAGAGCAACCATAAATTATAAATTTAAACATTACAGCATATCACACTCCAAAATTAAAACTTAACAGTTTAAAAAAATTGTAATTTATAAAAGCATCTGACAGATATCTAGCAAATTTTTTTTCTCATTCTTAAAAAAAAAAATTTTATTTATAATTTTTTTGATTTGGAAATGTGACATAATAATATTGTATATAACTGTTTTACATATTATGTCAATTTAAATGTAATTAACAGATTATTTAGTTAAAACAAAACAAAACTTAATTTTTATCAAATTTTTTTTTTTTTACTTTTTATTCATAATTAAAATTGAGTTTTAAAATAAACAAGAAAAATTCATTGTATTACATATTTCCTTCCTCTTTTATAAACTATTGCTTGTGCTAGAAAGGGTAAAAAAACCTTCATAACCCAATTTTTCAAATTGAACCTGGGTACCTACTAACAATGCACCAGGTGTTACTCATCAAGCTAGATAAATCGTCTATGCCTAGACCATTCATATATTTTTCAATTTAATTTAAAAAAGAAGGAAATTTGAAAAGTAGTTATCAGAATTCATAAGTAGATAAGAACTAATTATCTTGTATTTTTCTAAAGTTGGATGTAAAAGAAGCCCCTGAACCTTTAACCGAACATCCTCAATGGGATATTTCTGATGAAGAAGACAATATTAAAGAAGAAGATAAACAAAGTGATATTTCAGAATTTACTACAGATGAAGATGTTGAAGATTAAATAATAATTCATTATATGTATAAAAATAAACCTTTGGGCAACCTGACCTAAAACGAAGTTCAAAAAAATAAATACATTTAAAAAAAATAAGTTAATTAATTTAATAAATTTAGTATATAGATAAATGTAATTTAATATAATATATGAAATATATTATTGTTTTCAATTAATTTATCTTAATTAATTATCGAAATAAATAAATTTTAGTTACTTATGTTTATTAACTAGTATAAACACCAAAATATTTTAATATAATCATCAATTAGTTATTATTTATTTCTGTTATATTAATGAGAAAATAGACATGCATGGAAAATATTTTTTTCATTCATCTAAAATAAATAATGGTTATTTTATAAACAAAATCTGTTCTGCTACTAATTAAGTGGCTCTTATGTAAAAATAAATTGACTACATTTAGACATATGATTTATGATGCAAAGAATGAAGCTAAAAATAAGAGGTAATATTGAACACTATCAATGTAATTAATAATTTGTACATAGCATCAATAATTAATTTTTAGTCCAAAATGCATTGGTTAATCTTAATTAAATACATAATAAATGTGAGTAGTAAGCAGTAATATGGACATCTAAAAACATTTAAAAAGAAATATTTTTGAAGAGAAAAATTAAGCCAAACCCACCAAATATAACACTGTAATTGGTCTATAATAATATCTCTAATATGTAATCTAGTATAAATTAATTACCCACGATGCTCCCAAGATACATTTTCTAATAATTCCTTATTATAAAACATTTGTTATTTTCTTTTATAATTCTAATAAAATTATTGTTCAAAAAATATTCTCAACATTTTTAATAAAATATTTACTTCCTATTTTAATAATAATAAATCAGGATATTACAATTATACCAAACATTACAATGTCAAATAAAATGTTTTACTTCCTGTTTTAAAGACAATAGACCATATAATACCATATGGTATCTTTAGACATTCTGTATGAAAGGTACATATAGTTTTTAAAACAGAGTAGTGAGGAGCTTCATCACTTCTATTACACCGCTACAATGATTCATAGATGACTTTCTTCTCTTGTGAAATTGTGAACACTGGCGTAGAAAAATTTTATTGATATAAAAAAATAATTTATGGCCTATTAATAGACCATAAGGAAGTAATAATTATCACTTCCTTTATTATTCTGAATACCCTTAACTTAATGATGATTCTTACTTTATATCCAATTTTTAAAAAAATAATCTTAAAATCCAAATGGTTTATTAAATAAAAAATCCCAACACAGGGAGGTCGCGGCACAGTGGTGACGTGCATAGTTTGATCAAGTATAAAGATATCAGACAGTGATTAAAATCACTATAAAAAAAAAACGCTTCGATGCAAATCTTTAAATTGTGTTTCATTTTAAAAAATTGGTGGATTATTCCAAAAGCTACATGATCTGTTAGTTCCTTATTAATATTCTGATTAAGATAAAGTATGTCGAATGAAAAAGGGATTATTAAAAAATATTATTTCTCATAAAAAAATTGTGTTGATCCATACACTTTTCAATAAGTTATAGCATTATTAAGTTAAAAATGTAAAAAATAAAATCGAGAATTTTCACACAAAAATAGCATTCGGTAGCCATTTTCATCGTGAAGATAAAATAAAGCCCGAAATTTTTTTTTCCATAATAAAGTATACTACATAAGCTTTAATTTAAGATATATACATAAGTGTCAGACCTTCCGGAACACTTTCAAAAGTTGAAAAAATTAATTTTTTGTAAAAAAGTTGTCATTTTAAATCCCCCTCTATGGGCAGGTAAAGAGTCAGATTTATAAAAAAAATATACCAAATGATAGGTAAAGACATCAAGCATCTATAAAAAAAAAATTATATCGATTTGTTCATTTTTGAAAAAGTTATGGCTGTTTTTAGTAAAAAAAATTTCGAAAATTAGCGATTTTTAAATTTGTAATTTTTTTTTAGGTTTCCCCCATTTACAGGGAACGAGGGAAATTTTTTCAATTTTTGAGAGTAATGTTTTCCACTAGATACGATTTGTGATCTTTTGACGTATCATTAAAAGAAATCGGTCCGGGGAGAGCTGAGAAAAAGTGGTGACACAAAAAAAAAAAAACATAGTAAAACCAATACCTTCTCAGCTTCGCTAAAAGTTATAAGAATGACATGTTTGTAATTATTTTTTTTATTATATTATTAAGTAATAAGAGTTCACATTTAAGAACACTAATGATTTCTTATTTTTGAAGAGATGACAAAAAATTGTTTAATTTCATATTACTGTATTTTTTGGAATCAAATAATTTTCACTCTATAAAAATAAAAATTGAAAATATTTTTTTAAATTATTAGTTTTACCAAAATTAATCATTATATATTAATTTATTTATTTACTAAAAATTTTATATTATAAAAAAAAGTTGTAATATGTTTTGAGAGGAAAATATAAAAATTGATATACTTAGGACATAATAGTTTATATTAAATGTAGTTTTTTCATTTTCGTTAATCTAAATAAAACTCAAGGTCTATTTAGTTAAGGGCATTTATCTCAAATGAAAAAAATTGCTATTTTGAGAAGTAATATAGCTTTGCTTATACAAAGTAGCAAATTATCTTATCCAATAAACCATTATACTGAAAAAGTATTGCATCAGTAATTTTTTTGTTAGAATTTTTCTAATTATAATTATTTTATAAGAATCACTTAATATTTTTGGAATAAAGTCTTATAAACACAATTCTTGTTACAATTAACTATTTTTAAAATAGTTTTATATTTTAACTACTTTATTTGATTATTACATATTATTCATTTTATTGAGTGCAAAATCATTAATAAATATTGGTTATTTTAACTATGAAAAACTTATACTTAAGAGGAAATTATCAATTTTATTACATTTGGGACATGGAATAATTTATTAAAATGATTAAAAATTTAAATAATTTAACGACAAAAATTTGGAGGAATTCCATCATCCATTTTTGCACGTTTTCGAGCTTGCACACCAGAAAAGAATTCTTGAACATCTTCTACTTTAACTACCTCATCTCCTTTGAAACTATTAAGCCATTCAACCAAGTCTTCTTTAAATTGGTTATATTCTAAATAAATATATAATTTAATATAATAAGTAGACACAATATTTTTTATTAATACGTATTATTACATATAAATTTGATTAGTCAAATTAAAAATAATAATCTGATTTATATAAATTAAAATCAATTGTGACAAATAAAATATTTTTAGGCACTGAAAAAAAAAAAAGTTTCATAAATTCTTAAAAGAATAAATCTTGGAAAATTAAATAATAAAAATCTAAAGTTAAATGTATAGCTGACCAGAATTTTGTAAAAAAAAATATATTAACTATCGTGATTATAAGGTCACAAATCAAAATGTATTTCTAAAAATGTCAATATGTTAGATATCAATTCTTATTGAAAAACCGTGTAGAACACAATTATAGAAACAAACAAAACTGATGAATTTAAATAAATAAAAAAATTTAATAGTTGTTAGTCTGATGTGAATAATACTATGCTAACTTATATCCAAAAAATAATTAGAATCCTTTACCTAAGTATCATAGATTTTATTCATAGGTCTTACTACTAAGCTCAATGAAATATTAAAAAGAAAAAACAATAGCTGCCTTAATTTTTATTTAAAATACTTTGGTAGAAATATTTTAGCTAATAAATAAAAATTAAATAAATTATATTTTCAAATAATTTAAAAAATTGGGCATATTAAAATATATTTTAATTCCTGATGTGTAGTATAAAATTAATAAGTCTTTTGATTTTTGATTTTTTTTTTTAATTATTGATTACTTAACACTAATTATGAAGTGTGATAAAAAAATACCCGGACTGTGTTTATAATATTTATATTAATTAAGATAACGATATCCCGATAATTTCATTTGATAAAGTAACTTTTAACGAGAATTGGAGCATTAGTTTGAAATCGATAACAATATTTATTTTTAATTTATGGCATTTTTATAAAAACATGTTTCAGTCATGCGTCGATTTTTGAAATGGAAGCAATAGAAGAACAATATGTGTGCGTAAAATTTTGTTTTATATTAGGGAAAAGTTCTAGTGAAACTTTTGAAGATGATATTTTGTCTTGGACAACATGTTTTGAGTGGTTTAAATGGTTTAAGGAAGGTAGGACATCCATAAAGGATAACGAACGACTTGGTAGTCCCTCAATCAGTAAAACAAATGAAATTGTTGTTCGTGTTTGTGACATTATTTGAAATAATCGTCGATTAACTATCAGAGAAATTGTAGAACACGTTGGAATATCTTATGGTTCTTGCCAAGAAATATTAACCAAATAATTGGGCATGAGCCGAATCACAGCCAAATTTTTTCCTCGTCTCTTAACCCATGAAGAAAAACAAAACCAAAAGACTATCTTACAAGTACTTTTTGAAAGAGCAGAAACTGACCTAGACTTTTTAAAAAATATTATAACTAGTGATGAAACTAGGATTTACGGGTATGATGTTGAAACCAAGTGTCAATTGTCACAGTAAAAGTCAGCAAATTTCCCTAGACCAAAGAAAGCAAAGCAGGTGGGATCATATGTGAAAGCCATGTTTATCACTTTTTTTGATTTTCATGGAATAGTTCATCATAAATGGGCGCCTCAAGGACAAACAGTAAATCAACATTTTTATTTAGAAGTCATGAAAAGATTACGTAAAAATTTTTGAAAAAAAAAGGTCTGGAAATTGGAAACGGGGTTCTTGGATATTGCATCACGATAACACCCCGGCTCACAACTCATTGTTCATTCGTCAGTTCTTAGCGAAAAATCAGACTCCAGTAGTTCCACAACCACCATACTCACCCGATCTTGCCCCATGCTAAATTAAAACATACAAGAAATAGAACAAGATCTACTAAGCAACAATACAAGGAAAGCCTGTAATAAAATTAAAAAACTGCAATATAAACCCAAGAGATCCAGCAACATAGTTAATAATAAACATGGCGAAATTCTATTTGAGAATAAAAAGGTAGGATGTAAATAATGTAAATGAAGATAGAAAGGACCCGAAATACTGTTAAGTGAATTTGAGAAGTCTCTAGGAGAACTAAGTGACAAAAAAGCAATAGGAATTGATGATATCCCAGCTGAACTACTGAAAAATATAGGAGAAAAGACAAAATATCAATTATTTAAAATCACTAATGATAGCTATAGTAGTGAAGGTCTACCACTGAATTTTTTCAAAAGTAGAACTATAATAGTTTCGAAGAAAAACAATACAACAGAATGTAGAAACTATAGAAGTGTAGCACTCCTTTCTCATGCTTCAAAAATACTTCTAAACATTATCAAGAACAGATTGATAGAGAAAATAGAACAAAATATATCGGAAGATCAGTTTGGATTTAGGAAAAGATGAGGAACAAGAAAAGCAATATTAGTACTGAAACAGATCCTTGAGAGAAGAATTACACTGAATATAAATACTATAACAACATTCATAGATCTAGAGAAGAATTTTAACATTAATAATATGCTAAAAATTCTACCAAATGCATTTAATAAATTTAAAATGAAAATAAATTCTATGAAAACCAAAACAATACTTATAAGTAAAATGCACTTAGATCTAAACCTTAATATACAAATAAACAATACACGATTATAACAAGTTCGAAAATTTTGCTACCTTGGAAGTATCTTAACTTTCAATAAAAAATCAACTCCAGACATCAGAAGAAGAATAGCATTTTCAAAACAAACATTCCAAAGCAAGAATCAGCTTCTCACCAGTAAACATGTGGGCATTGGTACACATAAAAGATTAGTTAAAACATTTGTCAGGAGTGTGCTTTCATATGGCAGTGAAACATGGACAATTGACAAAAAAGACAGAAGCAAACTAGAAGCATTAGACTTATGGATATGTAGAAAAATGACAAAGACAAAATGGATAGACAAGAAAAAAAATAAGCAAGTGCTAGAAGAAGTAGAGAAGAAAAATAAAGTTAATCGGACACATCATTTGGCACAATGACTTTATAATCAACATCTTCAAATGAAAAATAACTGGTAAGACACCAAGACGCCCAAGGAAACAATATTTTGAAAATATCCTGGAACTCATGTACTGTGTATGTTTTGTTTCACTGAAGAATTGGATGTCAAATAGAGAGGAGTGGCTTCATTGACAAGACATTGCCTTTAATAGATGATGATGAAGTAAATAATATGTATAAAAACTATTCTAAATTATAGCATAAATTTAAAATAAACAATGCACATACATATAAACTTTACTCTATTAAGTATTGAATCTAAAAACTAAGAATTATATTGACTTACGATGGGCTAATTCTACCGCAGCCACTCTATCCATTGATGACAATGCTTTAGTAAGACCTTCTTCATTTTGTTTTTCTTTAGCTGACATTCTTTCTCGACTTTTATTTTCATATGCTTGTAATGTATCTTGAGGATCGGTAATAAAAGAAATACCTTCTTTTTTATATATTTCCTACAATATAGAAATATAATAATAAAACTCAAAATAAAAATCTTTAAGTTAAAAATTGTAAAATGGAGAAAGAAATATTTAAGTTTAATAAGATAAAAACAATTGAAACTATTTTAAAAGAATGATTTGCATAGATACATAATAATTTAAATGAATATTTAGATCCATAGTTAATCATTTTTGTAGATTTTAATATCAGAAACACACACGAGATTATTAACAATCATAATTTAAGTTTTTATATTAGATAAGGCTTCAAAAAGAAAGGTTATTATCCTACACTTATATAAGTGTCAAATATGTATAGTTCACATTTTCTTATAAGATATTTATGCAATTTTAAAAATTATTAAATTAATTAATTTATTAAAGCATTTAATTATAAAATTTATGATTAGAGAGAGGATTTATATAAATTTATAAATGCTGTAAAGATATTCTAAAAACATTATCAGCCAGTACAATTTATGTTAGTAGTAAGCTTGAAAACTTAGTAATGTCATTTAATTAGGGTTATAGTATTTAGAGAATTAAAAGGGTAATTCCCCTATAAAGCAAAAAAATATTTCTAACCTACTTTACATTTTAACAACAAATTTACACAAACTTGGATTATTTAAAAATGGCTCAAAAAATGTATAAATGCATATAAATCTACATTTTAATTATGATTTATTTAACATAATGTTTAGTTTTGATTATAAAATAAAACTCTTAAAAAAATAAAAACAATAATTATTAAGTAACTTACATTACAAGATACACATGTGCAAAGTTCATTACGCCAACCTTCAACCCAAAATGAACTACCCGAAATAGAGGACATTTTTTTTGTTGTATTCAGTTTACACTCACCATTACTACAAGATGGATGTGCAATGTCAGATTTCTAAATACAAAGAAAATAACTTATTATTAACTATGTTTCACAAGAACATCTATGTTATATTCAATTTTTACAGCTTACTGTGATTAATAGTTCTGCAGCATTCACAGAAGTATCATTTTCTGTATCCTCAACATTTATATCCTATGATAGTTAAAGCAATTTTAAAATATACTCATAAAGTAATTTAGTAAATTATTATTATAGATCAATCAAACCATGTGAGAGTAAAAATTTGAGTTAAAATATGTGAAAGAGTAGATTGATAGGTATTTTGTTAATTAAACCAGTATACATAGGGAGGGAGGTATAGGTATAATGTCAATTGTAGATAAGATGAGAGAAAATAGACTTGAATGGTTTATTCATGTTATGAGGAGAGAGAAATCAGAAGCTATAGTTATAGAAATTAATGTTAGAAGACCAAAAAAGAGATGGAGAGATGTAATTGAATGTAATATGAGGACAGCTGATGTGAGCGTAGATGTTGTGGGTCATCAAGAATTTTTGAATTTTGAGAGTTAGAACATAACCTTTTTGTGACTATTATAATATATATTTTTCAATCAATTATTTATAAAATTATTAAAAAAAAATTATTTATTTATTAAACAATTTAAATTAAAATAGACTTTGAGATTAATTATAATGTCAAGTTCACATATATTTGAATTGAATTCAAGAATGAATTATTATTTTCAAAATCCAAAACAAAGGAATAAATGGTCAACTTATTCTTTACCAATCTATATCATTATCATTAACATATTATTTAATGTAATGAGATGATAATACTGTATTAACTTACAAAGGTTCTAAAATTTATAAAGTAAACTTCAAATAAAATTTGTATCTAATAATAGTAAAATATAATTACAAAAAAAAAACAAGTATTTATTACCAAATTTTCATCATCCTCTAAACATTTTTTTGAATCATCAACAACTAAAAAAAAAATGAAGATAAAATTTAACAATATAATTTTTGTAACATTAAAACCAACAGCAATATAAGTCACTATAGATTTTTATAAAAAAAAATAATAATAAATAAATATTTTCTGAATAGGCCTTACCCGGTAGTATTTTTTATCCAACTTATATAAATTAAAGAATACATATTTTCAAAACTTAGTAAACAAATTTTTTTTCTAATCTACACTATGAAATATATATATCGAACATACCCATTAAGTGTTTATATGCAAGTAGAAAACTTAATTTTGAAGTACATTCTGAACATATCATTTCAGAATAATCATTAGGATTCATATCTTTAGTACCTAAGTGCTAAAAATAAAATTTTTATCATTAATTTTGTTTAATATAAAAAAATCATTAGAGTTTATTTTAATGAAATTATTATTACCTTACTATGATACCAATCTTCACAAATAATACATTGTATCATTTCATCATTATTTTCTTCATTGGGATCTGGATAAGGTCTACTACATGTACAGTATAAACCTTTAAAGTTTTGATTATAGATGTTAAGATCATTGGGTTCACTTTTGTTCTATAGAAAAAAAAATTAAAGTATGAAAAGTTTTATGTGTTATATAAACATTATATTTTTTAGTTATTTTTAAAAAACAATAAATATTCACAGATTTTACAATGTTTATTAATTTTGACACTATTATAAACAATTTCAACACTTACCGGTTCTAACTCACATTTTGTCTTAAATTTATCACTACCACAGTCACAACGATAATTTCTGGAATATTAATAAATATCTGTTATTTAATTTAATATAAATTATATTCATTTTTTGATGTAATGCTGTATTAAACTTAAAATTTATAAGTCTAGTTAATTAATACAAAAACTAAATTTTAATGGGATGATATCGCCAAGTTTGTAACACATTAATCATTAATGTGTACCGTCACACAAGTTTGAGACATAGTCGCAGGAGACTGGGTTTTTCTGAGTAAAAGATTAATTCAGCAATATGAGTCTACTTATTTATATTATAAATAAATTATAATACATACACATTTAAGATTTAGTAGAAATTTAAGATCATTTAATTTCAAACTTTAAAAAATAATAATTCAAATGGGTTAATATGTATTAATTTATTAGACATATAACATATAGAAAAACATACCTTTTTGTCCATAACTCAACTAATTCATGATTATCATGGCATTGATACATACACGGCAAACAAATAGCACCTGATGTTTGTCCATCTTCAGTACATGTAATGCATGCATACAATGCTTGTCTTTTCATGTATCCCTATATTAAAATAAGTAGTTTAAAATTACTAACCAAAAAATGATAAATAATTTAAATTGCTGTCATTCATCTATAAACGTCAAATATTGTTGAAAAACTAGAGCACTTTTAAGTTTACGTATAACGGCATATGAGTCTTAGTGCTCACCATTAATATTTTTTCTTTTTTACCTTTATCAACAATTTATAAAGGAAGAGGACACCAAAATTTCATTAAATAATAGTACAAATTTTTAATTAGAAAAGGTTGTTAAATAGGCCAACTTACCATTGAATAAGTACAATTATCACCTTCAGATGCTTCCAAAATTAAATTAGCCTGTTCTAATTCTTCGTTTTTTCCATTGATATACTCGCCTAGTCGAACAACTTCGTCTTCATTTTCTCCAAAAGAATTATTCTTTGACATTGCAGCAAGAGTATATAATAGATACTAATGTCAATTGAAATTACAATTCAGTTATGAACAAACTTAAACATTTAATTTTATAATATCTTACTGTTCAGTGAAGATTTAATTGCTCAAAATCAAAATTTTACCAAGATTATTTTTTCACTTAATTACCCTTGGCACTTCACTGATTTAGAAAATAGTTAGCTACACAGATAATAATTAAGAAATTATGTTTATAACAGACAATGTTTATGATAAATACTAATAATAATACTAATGAAAACTAGTCAACGGATCTTATGAATAAGATCATATCGAAAAATATAAAAAATTATTAACCATGGTTACTGGTTAATAACCTTCAAAGATTCTTGAATATGGCGCTCTCGGGTTCCGGAGATTGCCACGAACTGATGATGCCCCGACATTCATTTACTCAGACACTGTAAAAACATCCTCCGAATACATTTGCTCCGACAACAATTACTACGAATACCTGGTTACAAAAATTTGGATGTTACTACGACGACGAATACTCCGAATAGGACTATTAATTGATTGCTCCAAATGAAATTAGCTCCGAATATCGATTATTCGCGAAATCGATTAAAAAATTATCAAATTTCGGAGTAGATGAATATCGTAGAAATATATTATCTGATGTAAAAATATAACCCTTATCACTAATTAATAAATACTAATTAATATAATAAAATAGCGTTATAATTGATTACTGTCTATTAACGAATAATTATTACAATAAAGATCCCCGAAATGTATCCGACTTTTGATAAAATAGGTACATAAAGGTAACATAACTGGTGTGAGCACTTAAATTTTTTTTTGGAGGGGAAAGAAGAGCGATTCCAATTTTCAGACGTAAAATCTTTTTTACCTCTCCTTATTAGTGCTTATTATAACATTGTAAGAACATTAATATTATAACATTCAATTAGTTTAGTTAAAAAATATAGAGGTACGTTTTTATGATGATAGTATTCGTTATTAAACAGATGCGTTTATAAAGATATTCGGTATCCCATTCTCTAAAACTGTCATTACAATTAGTTTCATATGAAATCAAACAAAAATATGATTTAATATCATTTCATTGTTCAAAGGTGGGTAACGAAATTAATTCAGTCCAGTTTGGATTTGACCGCAATCTGGAGAGACTTGAGGGGGCTTTGNCTGCAGTTGGAGAGACTTGAGGGGGCTTTGTCTCCTAAAATTCTGCCATAGACTATACCGAAAATGAATTAATTTGTATTTCTTGTTGTATAGAAATATTTTTTTAGATTAGGTAAAAAATTATGTAATTAGAGTTCCCAAATATTTTGTTGCAATACTCCTACGCTCTAGT